AATGCCCAGGGTGATGATATTTAGTCAGTAGCATACTAGGATCAAGGGCTACCAAGTTTGTATAAATGTATGACCTTGAATCATATTCAAGGTCACAAGGAGCAAATATGTTCAAAATATTTCAACAACTTGTTCTGAATAACCAAAAGGCTCAGGATGTTGATATTTAGTCAGTAGCATATGCTGGGATCAAGGACTACTTTGTTTTTTAAAGTGAATGACTTTTACTTATATTCAAGGTCACAGGGGTCAAATTTGTTTAAAATCTTTAAACAACCTCTTCTGAATAACCATGGGTCCCAGGATGTTTATACTTTGCAAGTTGCATCCTTAGATGAAAGGCTATACAATGTGTTCAACATAATGACTTTGTTCGACTTTCAATCACAGGGGTGAAATGTTAAAAAAAAAAATAACGGTCTTTTGAATGAATTTTAATCATAAATACTGATATTTTGCCTGTAGCTTTATTTTAGATCACTTTTAAGGTTACAAGTGTGAGTTTTATTCCAGGTGAGCGATGCAGGCCCATTGGGCCTCTTGTTTATTATCCTCTGCTTTAGAATGGTGTTTCCTATTATCCTCTGTTTTAGGACAGTGTTTTCTATTATCTTCTGTTTTAGGACAGTGTTTCCTATTATCCTCTTTGTTTTAGGACAGTGTTTCTTACTATCCTCTGTTTTAGGATGGTGTTGCCTATTATACTCTCTGTTTTAGGATGGTGTTGCCTATTATCCTCTTTTTTTAGGACTTTGTTGCCTATTATCCTCTGTTTTAGGACAGTGTTTCTTATTATCCACTGTTTTAGATCTTGGTTGCCTATTATCCTCTCTGTTTTAGGATGGTGTTTCCTATTATCCTCTCTGTGGCCGGTGTTTTCTGTAATCCTCTCTGTTTTAGGACGATGTTTTCAGTAATCCTCTCTGTTTTAGGAGTGTTTTCTATTATGCTATCTGTTTAAGGACAGTGTTTCCTATTATCCTCTCTGTTTTAGGACAGTGTTTCCTATTATCCTCTGTTTACGGAAAGTGTTTCTTATAATCCTGTTTTAGGACAGTGTTTCCTATTATCCTCTCTGTTTTAGGACGGTGTTTCCTGTAATCCTCTCTGTTTTAGGACGGTGTTTTCTTTAATCCTCTCTGTTTTAGGACAGTGTTTCCTATTATCCTCTGTTTTAGGACGGTGTTTTCTTTAATCCTCTCTGTTTTAGGACAGTGTTTTCTATTATGCTATCTGATTTAAGACAGTGTTTCCTTTTATCCTCTCTGTTTTAGGACGGTGTTTCCTATTATCCTCTGTTTTAGGTTGATGTTGCCTATTATCCTCTCTGTTTTAGGATGGTGTTTCCTATTCTCTATGTTTTAGAACGGTGTTTCCTATTATCCTCTCTGTTTAAGAACGATGTTTCCAATTATCCTCTCTGTTTTAGGACAGTGTTTTCTAATATCCTCTGTCTTAAGACGGTGTTTTCTATCATCCTCTCTGCCTAAGGACGGAGTTTCCCATTATCCTCTCTGTTTTAGAACGATGTTTCCAATTATCCTCTCTGTTTTAGGACGGTGTTTCCTATTATCCTCTGTTTTAGAACAATGTTTCCAATTATCCTCTCTGTTTTAGGACTGTGTTTCCTATTATCCTCTGTTTTAGGTGTGTGTTGCCTATTATCCTCTCTGTTTTAGGATGGTGTGACTATTATCCTCTCTGATTTAGGACAGTGTTTCCTATTCTCTCTGTTCCTATTCTTTCTATCATCCTCTCTGCCTAAGGACAGAGTTTCCTATTATCCTCTCTGTTTTAGGACGGTGTTTCCTATTATCCTCTGTTTTAGGTTGGTGTTGCCTATGATCCTATCCTCTCTGTTTTATGATGGTGTGACTATTATCCTCTCTGTTTTAGGACAGTGTTTCCTATTCTCCCTGTTTTAGGACAGTGTTTCTTATTATCCTCTGTATTAGGACAGTGTTTCCTATTATCCTCTCTGTATTAGGACGGTGTTTCCTATTATCCTCTCTGTTTTAGGACGGTGTTTTTCTATCATCCTCTTTGCCTAAGGAAGGTGTTGCCTATTATTCTCTCTGTTTTAGGACAGTGTTTCCTATTATCTTCTGTTTTAGGAGTGTTTTCTATTATCCTTTCTGTTTAAGGGCGGTGTTTGCTATTGTCCTCTGTTTTAGGACAGTGTTTTCTAATATCCTCTCTGTTTTAGGACGGTGTTTCCTATTATCCTCTCTGTTTTATGACGGTGTTTACTAATATCCTCTCTGTTTTAGGACGGTGTTTCCTATTATCCTCTCTGTTTTATGACGGTGTTTACTAATATCCTCTCTGTTTTAGGACGGTGTTTCCTATTATCCTCTCTGTTTTATGACGGTGTTTACTATTATCCTCTCTGTTTTAGGATGGTGTTTCCTATTATCCTCTCTGTTTTATGACGGTGTTTACTAATATCCTCTCTGTTTTATGACGGTGTTTCCTACTATCCTCTCTGTTTTATGACGGTGTTTTCTAATATCCTCTCTGTTGTATGACGGTGTTTTCTAATATCCTCTCTGTTTTATGACGGTGTTTCCTACTATCCTCTCTGTTTTATGACGGTGTTTTCTATTATCCTCTCTATTTTAGGACAGTGTTTACTATTATCCTCTCTATTTTAGGCCAGTGTTTGCTATTATCCTCTCTATTTTAGGACAGTGTTTGCTATTATCCTCTCTATTTTAGGACGGTGTGTACTAATATCCTCTCTGTTTTAGGACTATTATCCTCTGTTTACGGAAAGTGTTTCTTATAATCCTGATTTAGGACAGTGTTTCCTATTATCCTCTCTGTTTTATGACAGTGTTTACTATTATCCTCTCTATTTTAGGACAGTGTTTGCTATTATCCTCTCTATTTTAGGACGGTGTATACTAATATCCTCTCTGTTTTAGGATGGTGTTTCCTATTGCCGGAGGTACCTTGCGGATTTTAGACAAGGACATCACACTACAGGGATACAATGTTCCCAAGGGGGTAAATACCTTCCATTTATATGTTACAAAATATGAATTGTATATATTATTTTTCAAAACAATCACATGATGTCAAATTATTTTCTGAAATGTTAAGTGTTTATGAATGTTAATTGTAACTTATTATTTCAGACCCCAATGCAGCTTTGTAGTGGGATCATATGCAGGGATGAAAACTACTTCCCCCAACAGGACCAGTTCCTCCCCGAGCGCTGGATTCGTGGGGACACCAGGACGGATGTGAACCCCTTTGCTCACCTCCCATTTGGATTTGGTCCCCGCAAATGTATCGGCCAGAGATTTGCCGAGCAGGAAATCTACATATGTACCGCTAAGGTAAGTTGTCACTAGTTTGTGTATTGGTATTGACTTTGAAATACAAATTTGTATTGCTAAGTTAAGTTTGTATTAGGAATAAGTAGAAATTCACACCCTGTAGCGTGCTAACTAATGTTACTATATTTAAACTTCACTATTGATATTTGTTTCTTTTCAAAGACAATCAGTTTTTATCTCACCTGGCCCGTAGGGCCAAGTGAGCTTATGGCATGGTGCGGCGGCCGTCGGCCGTCCATCGTCAACTTTTTTACTTTAAACAACTTCTTCTCAGTAACCAAAAGGACTAGGGTGATGATATTTGGCCAGAAGCATGCTTTGATGAAGGGCTACCAAGTTTGTTCAAATAAATGACCTTCATCAATTTTCAAGGTCACAGGGGTCAAATATGTAAAAATCTTTAATCAACTTCTTCTGAATAACCAAGAGACCTAGGATGATGATATTTAGCCAGTAACATGCTGGGATGAAGGGCTACCAAGTTTGTTCAAATAAATTACCTTGATTTATATTCAAGGTCACAGGGGTCAAATATGTTAAAAACCTTTCAACAACTTCTTCTGATTAACTGAGAGGCCTGGGGTGATGTCATTTGGCCAGTAACATGCTGTGATGAAGGGCTACCAAGTTTGTTCAAATAAATGACCTTGATTTATATTCAAGGTCACAGGGGTCAAATATGTTTAAAACCTTTAAACAACTTCTTCTGAATAACCGAGAGGCCTAGGATGATGATATTTGGCCAGTAACATGCTTGGATGAAGGGCTACCAAGTTTGTTCAAATAAATGACCTTCATCCATTTTCAAGGTCACATGGGTCAAATATGTTAAAATCTTTATACAACTTCTTCTGAATAACCAAGAGGCATAGGATGATGATATTTGGCCAGTAACATGCTGGGATGAAGGGCTACCAAGTTTGTTCAAATAAATGACCTTGACTTATATTCAAGGTCACAGAGGGCAAATATGTTTAAAACATTTAAACAACTTCTTCTGAATAACCAAGAGGCCTAGTATAATGCCAGTAACATGCTGGAATGAAGGACTACCAAGTTTGTTCAAATGAATGACCTTGACATATATATTCAAGGTCACAGGGGTCAAATATGTTTAAAACCATTGAATGACTTCTTCTTAATAAACAAAAGGTCAAGAGTGATGATATTTGGCCATTAACATGCTGGGATGAAGGACTACCAAGTGAATGACCTTCACCCATATTCAAAGTCACAGTGGTCAATATATGTTTAAATCTTTAAATGATTTGTTCTATATTTATAGACCAAAGGTCCAGGGTAATGGTATTTTGCCAAATGCATGCTGTGTTGGAAGACTATAAACTCTGTTCAACCTAATGTCCATCTTCGACATTCAAGGTCACAGGCGTTATATGTTTAAATCCTTAAATAGGTTCTTATGAATCAAACACTGATATTCTGCCTGTAGCTGTATTTTAGTCCACTTTTAAGATTACAAGTGTGAGATTAATACCAGGTGAGCGTTGCAGGCCCATTGGGCCTCTTGTTAATGTTGAGGCAATTTATGTTTGAAAAAGTATAGTCCATCGTCTAATGAACACAATTACTTACCGACGTAATTGACTTGTATATAGGTTAGTATATATACATTAATAAGTCTCTTATTACAACCCCTAGCTCCTCCGGAACTACCGTGTGGTGCTGCCCCCTGGTGTTACAGATATTCCTTACATCTACAGCATATTCAGCACTCCCACGGAACCTGTAAGCTTCCTCCTGGAGAAACGCTAGGACTAATAATCCAGGACTATATATATACTTGGTTTTTTTTTTATCAGCTTGAGACTCTAATATCAAGTTAAGGACCGGAGACCCACAAACTCAACAACTCATACAGGGTTGTTACCAAAAGTTGTCTCATATTCTGTTTGGAAAAAAAATGGAAGTATCTTCTATGTTTTCAACATGATCCGTGTAAAGGTGTATGCTGATGGGGGTTTGATAAATGGAAGAAATATAAGGTAGTAACCATGAAAGGCATTGGAAAAGAATTAATGTATGCAGATCCCTGTATTTAGGAGCAAGTGAATACTGTTGGCGCTTTAAATTTGCAGGGTCAATATTTTTGACAGTGACTTCACTCGAAAGAAAATAAAATGTGTATGTACCTTTGTAGGAGTAGACTGTAATCCATTAATCACCTACTGTGTACACATACATATGTTGTGGCCACTTATATGTAAGTGTTGTTTTTATATGGACTGCCCAGTTGTCCAGTGATAATTTGATTTGAGTTCGTTTTACCGGCAATAAGCCCCCTCTCGCAAATAAGCCCCCTCCCCACTTTGGTAAATGTCCTGGGAACAGGGTGGGTAGCTTGCATAACAGCATTGGGTTATAACTATTTTCAACATGTTGGTATAAGCTCCATAAAAGTGATTTACTTTTTCCATCATTTCGCTGGTGTTTAGAATTTGGGGACATTAGTCAAAGCGAGAATATAGCGAAAACTAAACCCCCGCGAAACCACTATACAGTAATAGACGTTAATGTATATGATGTGTTAAATTACTGGGATTTAAAATCTACCACCATACTCTTTCTGATAGGAGAGCGAGTTGTTTTGGTATTGTTAATATTTATCAAGATTTATTAATGAGATAATGGGGTACAATAAGGGTTTTAATTATAGCTATATTTGATATTCCCTGTACTAGTTTATGACGAACCTCTGAGGAGGCAAAAGTTCTTGGAATATATATATATTTATTATTTTGTTAGTGCTTTCTGAATTAAACTGGCTTTTCACTGAAGATAAGAGGGTATTCAATCAACGATAAGGTATACTAATTTTTGGCTGAACCTGGCTGAACTTGTAACTATGAGATTATTGTTATTTGTCCGTATTTTTTTGGAGTAACATTTTTATGTTTGTGTCTTGACAATTTGGCAAATTATGAAATTGTAACAATAGTGATATTATGCAAGATATACAATGAACTGTGGTTTTATATTTATAAATAAGTCAAATTTACTCTGAACTGTGGTTGTGTTCTAAAATTAGGTCTTGGGTAAATTAAACTGCTTTTTTTTTTTTACAGAATGTACAATATACTTAGAACAGTGGTTGTTTTATACCATTAATGTCAAATATATACTGAAGAAAGACAAGATATATACATTGAACTGTTGTTGTTTTTCTAGAAAATACAAATATACATTCAACAGCGGTTGTGTTCTACTAAATAGGTCATATATACGTTGAACTGTTGTTATATTGACTCATTGACCCCTGAAGACTCATTTGAACTCTCCAATTCAAAGGTTGGAATAGTTCATTGTGAAACTTCAGGGGGTTGAATGAGTTAAGAAGTTGATTATATAATTATGTACATTGAGTGGTGGTTGTATTCTACCACATCAATAAGATATATATTAAATGGTGGTTGTATTCTACCACATCAATAAGATATACATTAAATGGTGGTTGTATTCTACCACATTAATAAGATATACATTAAATGGTGGTTGTTTCAGGTCATGGTAACATTACAAAGAAGTATTGTTTTATTATACTCTGAGAATCTGTTTTGTTTTAAATTGTAAAAAAAACTTTTTTTGATCTGACATGTATAAGGATGCTGTACATTATGATATGGTGTTAGTAGATTAGCACTCGGCCTTATATACAGGCCGCTAGTGTATATCTACTGACCTACACAGGGGTCCGTAACATGTAACTAGACACATAGAATGGACACAGGGTTAAAGTCAGACATATAATATCCCATTACAAATAAAGTTTGTTGTTACAATATTCTACCAAAGATAATCGTGTGGAACTTGTTTTCACTATGATTGACATTTTTGTGAATGGTGTTATTTTTATGGCTACTAGCTATATAGGTGGCTATATCTAATATGTCGTAAACATTTATCTCTGTTTTCGGTGGTGTCCTGTAGTAATGATGTCGTCCACTACACCCCCGTATTGTTTTGGGATCTGATTTGTATAGAGGAGAGAATGATCTTTACAAGTATATACTTATATAATGTTTCAACAGCAGACTTATGATAATATTGTAACAGGAAAGAGAAAAGTGTGCTTCCACCGGGGATCGAACCCTCAATCTCCAGGTTCCTAGTCGGCCGTTCTACCACTGAGCTAAAGGGAATATCGAAATTCCCTCTAGCTCAAAGCTAGAAGGCGACCTTCATCCTATGTACAATTAAAACCTGCCACAATATTATAACTAACTACACATACATCACATTAATCAATTTCCTTTATCAAATTTTTAACTGAAATCCAAACAGAACACATGCTTGGGGGTCAATTTCGATTCACACTCAGGCATTTTGTTGGTTGATCATGGATGTGAATTTTAAGGAAAAATGACCAGGGCCTGTATTCATGAAACCGTTTTCATGCTCAAGCATAGCTTTTGCGCTCAAGCTCAATTTCTTGTTCCAGATGTAAACAGATAAACAAATCTCCTTTTGTCTTGGAGAGCCTGTAAGTGGAATGATTTCAATGTTTACATATTACTTTTTGATCATTTGACATGTTTTAGAAGAGTTACAAGAAAGTTGGTTTGAGCACAGAATCCATGCTTGAGCATGAGAACGGTTTCATAAATACGGGCCCTGTAATTTGATCTGTCTGTGATATGTGACGCTTCCTGTCAATATCTGCTAACTCATGTGTTAAATTTATCTCTGTATTGTTATAGAAAATGTACATATGAGAACTTGTTTACATTTACTGTTATAATAATATTTGTGATTTTCTATTTTTTTTTAAATTTATAATTGCCGTTAATGTATACTCAGTGTATTCGCATGTATATTTCTAAATTGATAATAAATTGATATCATTTTATGTTACGTGTGTTTGTGTTATTCCTTCAAATCTCTGAACAATATACTGATAATGTCCCAGTAACGGTTAACATGGTATAATTACTTTGGAAGTTCCTCTCACAGTGATGTTAACTTTGTTTGTACTCATTCTTGTATCGTAAACCTCAGTAGTATCTACCCTAGTGACATACACCATGATAGTATCTACCCTAGTGACATACACCATGATGGTATCTACCCTAGTGACATACACCATGATAGTATCTACCTTAGTGACATACACCATGATGGTATCTACCTTAGTGACATACACCATGATGGTATCTACCTTAGTGACATACACCATGATAGTATCTACCCTAGTGATGTACACCATGATAGTATCTACCTTAGTGACATACACCATGATGGTATCTACCCTAGTGATGTACACCATGATAGTATCTACCTTAGTGACATACACCATGATGGTATCTACCCTAGTGATGTACACCATGATAGTATCTACCTTAGTGACATACACCATGATGGTATCTACCCTAGTGATGTACACCATGATAGTATCTACCTTAGTGACATACACCATGATGGTATCTACCCTAGTGATGTACACCATGATAGTATCTACCTTAGTGACATACACCATGATGGTATCTACCCTAGTGATGTACACCATGATAGTATCTACCTTAGTGACATACACCATGATGGTATCTACCCTAGTGATGTACACCATGATAGTATCTACCTTAGTGACATACACCATGATGGTATCTACCCTAGTGATGTACACCATGATAGTATCTACCTTAGTGACATACACCATGATGGTATCTACCCTAGTGATGTACACCATGATAGTATCTACCTTAGTGACATACACCATGATGGTATCTACCCTAGTGATGTACACCATGATAGTATCTACCTTAGTGACATACACCATGATGGTATCTACCCTAGTGATGTACACCATGATAGTATCTACCTTAGTGACATACACCATGATGGTATCTACCCTAGTGATGTACACCATGATAGTATCTACCTTAGTGACATACACCATGATAGTATCTACCTTAGTGACATACACCATGATAGTATCTACCTTAGTGACATACACCATGATAGTATCTACCTTAGTGACATACACCATGATAGTATCTACCTTAGTGACATACACCATGATAGTATCTACCTTAGTGACATACACCATGATAGTATCTACCTTAGTGACATACACCATGATAGTATCTACCTTAGTGACATACACCATGATAGTATCTACCTTAGTGACATACACCATGATAGTATCTACCTTAGTGACATACACCATGATAGTATCTACCTTAGTGACATACACCATGATAGTATCTACCTTAGTGACATACACCATGATAGTATCTACCTTAGTGACATACACCATGATAGTATCTACCTTAGTGACATACACCATGATAGTATCTACCTTAGTGACATACACCATGATAGTATCTACCTTAGTGACATACACCATGATAGTATCTACCTTAGTGACATACACCATGATAGTATCTACCTTAGTGACATACACCATGATAGTATCTACCTTAGTGACATACACCATGATAGTATCTACCTTAGTGACATACACCATGATAGTATCTACCTTAGTGACATACACCATGATAGTATCTACCTTAGTGACATACACCATGATAGTATCTACCTTAGTGACATACACCATGATAGTATCTACCTTAGTGACATACACCATGATAGTATCTACCTTAGTGACATACACCATGATAGTATCTACCTTAGTGACATACACCATGATAGTATCTACCTTAGTGACATACACCATGATAGTATCTACCTTAGTGACATACACCATGATAGTATCTACCCTAGTGACATACACCATGATAGTATCTACCTTAGTGACATACACCATGATAGTATCTACCTTAGTGACATACACCATGATAGTATCTACCTTAGTGACATACACCATGATAGTATCTACCTTAGTGACATACACCATGATAGTATCTACCTTAGTGACATACACCATGATAGTATCTACCTTAGTGACATACACCATGATAGTATCTACCTTAGTGACATACACCATGATAGTATCTACCTTAGTGACATACACCATGATAGTATCTACCTTAGTGACATACACCATGATAGTATCTACCTTAGTGACGTACACCATGATAGTATCTACCCTAGTGACGTACACCATGATAGTATCTACTCTAGTGACGTACACCATGATGGTATCTACCCTAGTGATGTACACCATGATAGTATCTACCCTAGTGACGTACACCATTATAGTATCCACCCTAGTGACGTACACCATGATAGCATCTACCCGAGTGACGTACACCATTTTAGTATCTACCCTAGTGACGTACACCATGATAGTATCCACCCTAGCGACGTACACCATTATAGTGTCCACCCTAGTGACGTACACGATGATAGCATCTACCCGAGTGACGTACCCCATTTTAGTATCTACTCTAGTGACGTACACCCATTATAGTATCCACGCTAGTGACGTACACCACGATAGGAACTACCCTAGTGACGTCCACCATGATAGTATCTACCCTAGTCACGTACACCATGATAGAATCTACCCGAGTGACGTACACCATGGTAGTATCTACCCTAGTCACGTACACCATGATAGTATCTACCCTAGTGACGATAACCATGATATATCTACCCTATTGATGTACACCATTATAGTATCTACCCTAGTGTCGATAACCATGATAGTATCTACCCTAGTGACGATAACCATGATAGTATCTACCCTAGTGACGTACATCATTTTAGTATCTACCCTAGGGACGTACACCATGATAGTATCTACCCTAGTGACAGACACCATGATAGTACGTACACCATGATAGTATCTTCTCTAGTGACGTACACCATTATAGTATCTACCCTAGTGACGCACACCATGATAGTATCTACCCTAGAGACGTACACCATGATAGTATCTACCCTAGTGACAGACACCATGATAGTATCTACCCTAGTGACGTACACCATGATAGTATCTTCTCTAGTGACGTACACCATTATAGTATCTACCCTAGTGACGTACACCATGATAGTATCTACCCTAGTGCTGTACACCGTGATAGTATCTACCCTAGTGACGTACACCATTTTAGTATCTACCCTAGTGACGTACACCATGATAGTATCTTCTCTAGTGACGTACACCATTATAGTATCTACCCTAGTGACGCACACCATGATAGTATCTACCCTAGTGACGTACTCCATGATAGTATCTACCCTAGTGACGTACACCACTATAGTATCTACCCTAGTGACGTTCACCATGATAGTATCTACCCTAGTGACGTACTCCATGATAGTATCTACCCTAGTGCTGTACACCGGGATAGTATCTACCCTAGTGACGTACACCATTTTAGTATCTACTCTAGTGACAGACACCATGATGGTATCTACCCTAGTGACATACACCATGATAGTATCTACCCTAGTGCTGTACACCGGGATAGTATCTACCCTAGTGACGTACACCATTTTAGTATCTACTCTAGTGACAGACACCATGATGGTATCTACCCTAGTGACGTACACCATGATAGGATCTACCCTAGTGACGTACACCATGATAGTATCTCCCCTAGTGACGTACACCATGATAGTATCTTCTCTAGTGACGTACACCATTAAAGTATCTACCCTAGTGACGTACACCATTATAGTATCTCCCCTAGTGACGTACACCATTATAGTATCTACCCTAGTGACGTACACCATTATAGTATCTGCCCTAGTGACGTACACCATGATAGTATCTACTCTAATGATGTACACCATGATAGTATCTACCCTAGTGACGATAACCATGATAGTATCTACTCTAGTGACGTACACCATGATAGTATCTACCTTAGTGACATACACCATGATGGTATCTACCCTAGTGATGTACACCATGATAGTATCTACCTTAGTGACATACACCATGATGGTAT